TCCACAGAGAGGTCAGGGCTCAGAGGTCAGAGGTCAGAGGTCAGGGACTGGAGCTGCGAGGTGTCAGGGTGTCGATCAGTGATACTTCAGCAGGGTTAGACACACGTCCATCAGACGTCACGTATGAACCGACCGTCAGTGACGACGCTCAGACCGCCACTCACCTGTGACCATGTTTCCTCTGACAGGAAGTGTGTTTGTGTCGTTTCAGGTGAGAGGGAGTGGAACTCGCCGCTGACCGAGCGGCAGCGTTACGACGAGCGTGAGGAGCAGAAGAGCGGATACGACGCTCCGCGGAGGTACGCCCCCCCCACTGACTCCAGACACCCTGACCCTCGGAGGCCAGAGGGAGCCCCGCCCTCCGGCACAGTGGTCCACAGGAACTGTCCGAGCCCGGCGGGTCTGGAAGCCCCGCCCCCGCGGTTCGAGCGGGAACGGCTGTCGCCTCTGCACCAGAAAGACGCGGCAGAGATGAGTCCGATCCCGCGCTTCGAGAGCCCCAACAGCGAGCACTCCGACGACGGCCCCCTCAATCTTGATGTTGCCCCCCCTCACCCTCCCCCTCCCCCTCCCCCCAAATCCATCCTGAAGGCACCGGCCCGCGGGGGGCCCGCTGTCCTCCGTCCGACAGCACAGCAACTCGCCGGGGGACACACGCCTCCTCACGACGGAGGACACCCGCCCCCCCGGTACGACAGTAACGAACACATGGGCCCCCCCAGGCCACACCCCCCGGGCTGGTACGACGACTCATCGCGTTTCGACGGGCCTCACCACCAGGGGCCCGGCCGGTTCGACGGCCTGTCTCACGGTCCAATGAGAGGCGGAGACAGTATGAGCAGGTTTGACGGCCACGCCCACCCTCAGGGTCCCGGGAGGTTTGACGGCCCCATCGGCCAACAGCCCCCGGTGAGGTTTGTGGGACAGGGGCCCGGACCGGGACACTTTGAGGGCCCGATGCAACACTTTGAACCCCCGCGGCGCTTTGAGAACAACATGGCTCCTGGTCCTGGTCCGATGGGCTTCCAGCAGCAGCGGCCCCTGCGCTTCGAGGGTCCCCCAAACCAAATGGGCCCCATGAGGTTCGAGGGTCCCAGTCGCTTCGATGGACCCGGACAGCCGGGCCCCCGCTACGAGGTACCCAATGTGCCCCACCAGGGCGGGCACCCGCACTTCGAGGGTCCCCCCAGGCAGCAGGGCCCCCCCAGGTTCCCGCCCCAACACAACTTGCAGCCCCCCATGAGGCCGATGGCCCCGCCCATTTACGACAATCCCATGGCCCCCCAGCAGAACTTCACCATGGCCCCTCAGCGTTTCCCAGAGTCCATGAACCCCCAGTTCCCGGCGGCGCCAATGGCGTTCCCGGCACAGCCGAACCTGCAGGCGGGAAACTTCAACATGCAGCCAGCCCCGCCCTTCAGCCAGCCCGGCCCCGCCCCCTTCTACAACCCGGCTGCTCCTGCTGTCGGCCTGCAGCAGCCGGTGAGTGACACCTGTCAATCAACCACTGACACATTGTTGAGTCGTTTTATTGATCATATTGATATTAGATCAAAGATGAAAACCAGAGAAACGGAACAGACGCCACGTTCTTCTTCTCTCTAATGTGACATTCAGAACCTGTTGTCGTCGTCGTTGTTGTTGTTGTTGACATGTCGTCTTGTTGTTCTCAGGTGAACATGTTGGGGAACATGAACCAGCCGTTCCTGCCTCAGAACCCGGTGCCTTTCACATCACAGAGTAAGATTCTCCCTCTGACACGTCTTTGATATTTAATGTGACTCTGAGCTGGAAGTAGTCCGAGTGGCGGAGGGATACGGCCGCGAGGAGGTGATTGTAGTTCTTGTGTGTGACCTGTGACTGTGGTTGTGTCCCTGCAGCTCCGCAGGTCGTCCCTCCAGAGAACCACTTCGGTCAGGTTGACGTCAACGACCTGCTCTCCAAACTCATCTCCAACGGCATCATCAAACCCTCGCAGCCCGACGCCGCGCCGACAGTGCCGGGCAACGGTCAGTCCACGATCCACGATCCTTTAGTCGAGCTTGTTGTTGAAATGTTGTCCCACTGTTTTCGCCGGGACTCGATCTGTGTTTAATAAAGCTGTTGTCATGGTTACTGATTTTCCAGAAACTTCTCCCGTGGCTCCAGCGGCGCCACCGGTGGTGGTGGAGGAGGAGGAAGAGGAGGAGCAGGAGGTGGAGGAGGACGATTTCCCGGACCTCACCAGCTTCAGCATCGACGACATGAAACAGTGAGCACAGACCAAACTGTTCCTCCATCAATCAATCAATCACTCATGTTCTACATGTTCTAATAACCCCCCTGCCCCCCAGGCGGTACGAGAGCGTGGTGACCCGGCTGTACTCGGGGAACCAGTGCTGTCTGTGCAGCATGAGGTTCACCACGGCTCAGACCGACATGTACGCTGACCACCTGGACTGGCACTTCAGACAGAACCACGCCGGAAAGGTCGCCAGCAAGAAGGTCACACACCGCCGCTGGTACTACAGCCTGACGGTGAGCACGCACGCACACACACATGCACACACACATGCACACACGCACGCGGCGACCTCACTCTGCAGTAACTGACCTGAAAACAGCTGAAGAGTGTCCTGATTTTTGTGTGTGTGTGTGTGTGTGTGTGTGTGTGTGTGTGTGTGTGTGTGTGTGTGTGTGTGTGTTCGTTCAGGACTGGATTGAGTTCGAGGAGATCGCCGATCTGGAGGAGCGAGCGAAGAGTCAGTTCTTCGAGAAGGAGAACGAGGAGGAGGTGCAGAAGAACCAGGCGGCGGCGAAGGAGAAAGAGTTCCAGAGCGTGAGAGCGACCAAGGACCAAGTGGGGGAGGTGAGACTGAACCAGCCAATCAGGAGCCAGACTGACTGTTGATCTAGTTATTTACCAAAATAAAAAGTAAAAAAAGAATAAATACAGAGAAGTAAATGAAATAAAGTCAGATCTTAATTTTCTTAATTTCTTTTCATGATGTAAATTATTTCTTTCATCCAGAGTGAGAGGAAGTGTTTGTGAATCCCATCTCTTCAAAATAAGGCGTCTCACTAATAAAGTCACAAAAGCTGTAACCGTGACGACGTGTTTTTGTTTTTCCTCTGCAGTCGTGTGAAATCTGTCAGGAGCCGTTTGAGACGTACTGGGTGGAGGAGGAGGAGGACTGGTTCCTGAAGAACGCCATCAGGGTCGACGACAAGGTAACCACGACAACAACAAACTGATCAGAGCTCACCATATGAGCTATATATTGATTAGTTGATCAACAGAAAAATAGTCAACTGATTCACTTGGTCAGCTGAGATCACAGGAAACAGTTCTGGCTCATTAATCAGCAGATTAATCAATAATCATCACAATCAATGACCATGACAAAACAATAAACACACTAAACAAAACAAACATTGACACACACACAAGATCAATTAGATATTAAAGGAAATAAATAAGAAACAAAACAAAGGAAAAAGATTTAAAAAGTCAAAATATTCAGTGAATCCACATCAGCAGCTTTGAAACGAAATCAAATGAACAAGACGAGACTCGTCTGTCTCCAGCTGTGATGATAAACATCTGTCTGATGTTCCTGTTTGTTCCTCACAGAACTTTCATCCCTCCTGTTTTGAAGATTATAAGAATGTAAGTAACTCAATCTTATTAATAATAATAATCAATAATCAATAATAATAATAGTCAAAGCGTCAGGTGTTTGACCTGCTGCCGCTCTCTCTTCTCAGACATCGTCGTATCTCGACGTCACACCGTCGCCCAACAAGGTGCTCACCGATCACCCGCTGAGAGTCTTCATAAAGACTGAAGAAGAAGATGAGGAAGAGGGAACTTCCTGCGCCGTCGCCTCCGCAGCCGCCTCTGCAGCCGCCACCGCAGCCGCCTCCGCAGCCGCCACCGCAGCCGCCACCGTCAAACAGGAGGCGGAGTCTGAGGCCGGCGAGCTTCCTCCTGTGAAAAAAGAGGAGGAGCCTGAGGTTTTAACAGACGAAGTGCAATCAGAGGAGAGTAAAGCGTAGCCTCGGTCACTTTCCCGTTTTGGAGGGAAAGGTGTTTTTAGCGTGCGGAGGCCGGGTCCTCAGCATCGAACTCTTAAATACATTTTTGTATTTGATGGAGCGTCGACCATTTCAGGTCCGATTCTCTGAAGAGAACACGTTGGTTTGGCTCCAAGTGTAAATGATTTAATTTATAAATTAAAGTATTTTTGGTATCTCTGGTGTAACAGTGTTTGAATCATCAGCTGCTGCTGCCTGTTACAGTCTGTAAATACTTGATTGGTTATTGATTGGTTATTGATGAGTAGTTGCAGGTGTTGACTGCGTTAAAGGTAAGCATGAAGACTCCTGGTTCAGGATCGGGTCCCGTCGAGGATCCGGGTCGTCTCCTCTGTTTCCTCTGAGCTTCAATAAAAGAGTCTGAAACTCGTTTGTTTGTGTGAACGATGATTTTCTCCTAATGATCCGTTTTATTGTCGTTTATTTCACTATTATAAATAAAGGTTCAGTGGGTTTAAACTTGTGCTCCTGTATTTATTTCAGACTCCGTCACCAGGTTTTACACTGTATATGAAGGGTCATTAAATGCCTCATTCATGTTTAATGTAACAACATTTACTCTGTGACAAACTCTCCCGTTTCTGATACTCAATTAGTTAATTAACAAAATTAATCTGCAACTATTTTAATGTTTTAACTTGTTTTTCATGGTTTCAACTTCTCAGTTATTTTAACTAAAATGTATTAGTTATGTTGAAGTTTGGACTTTAGTTATAACAGAACATTGAACTCTGGGTAATTAATTACACAAGCAATTAATAGAGAAAATGATCAGCAGATTAAAACATAATGCAAATGAGTAATAAGTGAGTGAACTGTGATGCGTTCACTGGTGTCAGTGTGTGTAATACCCTTCCCTTCAGTAGCAGTGACGTCACATCAGGATTTTTATTTATGTAAAATAGAAACTTTTGTTTCTGACTCTAAATCTTTATTCGCACACGTCAGACATTTCACACCAGGTGAGACACACCTTCCCTTCAGGGAACTCGTAACTTAAATTACAACAATAAAATAAAACTTTATTGAAATGATTGTAAAACAAAAATAGCATAAAACTTCAAATATCAGATGTTTGTTCTAAAGAATCACTTCTACAGAGCGTGATGCATTCACTTGTTTTTCTTTTGTTAATATTTTGAAAGTATTTTTACTTTAAATCCTGTTTTTCTGAATTAAGATAATTCTGAGATAAGTTTTTTTTTCCTCCAGTGAATGCATCACGCTTCTGAACATTTCACCCACATCAAAGTAAAAACATGTTCAGATACAGTGTCTAAGTGAATTTAACAGAACAGTTGCTGTGAACTCTGGAGCTTCTGGTTCTTTATCTTCTGTTTCTGCTGCTTCTCTGAAGAAGGAAATCTTCCCCTTTAAAAGTGAAGAGAGAACTCGGCTGTTGCTGCTTTAAACCTGGATGTTGACTGAACCGTGTCCCGGTCTCTGATCCGGATCCTTCACCTCCACAGCCGGTAGACTCCCAGAGCGATGGCGAGGCAGGAGAACACCGTCGCTGAGGAGGAGCACAGGAAACACTTATTACTGAGTACATGCATGGGGGAGGGGCGGAGCGAAGGGCAGAGGGCGGGGCTCAGTCACCTGCCAGGTAGCGGACAGTCTCCAGTTTGAGGGACTCCAGGACGGTTTTGAGCGACGCCACCTGCAGGTCGATCTTCTTGTTGATCTCCATGTTGTCGTTCTCCAGGTCAGCTTTCTGAGAAACACGTCAGCCAACCAGGTGTAGTTAGTCACAGTTGACCAGGTGTAGTTAGTCACAGTCGACCAGGTGTAGTTAGTCACATTCGACCAGGTGTAGTTAGTCACAGCCGACCAGGTGTAGTTAGTCACAGCCGACCAGGTGTAGTTAGTCACAGCCAACCAGGTGCAGTTAGTCACAGCCAACCAGCCAACCAGGTGTAGTTAGTCACAGTTGACCAGGTGTAGTTAGTCACAGCCAACCAGCCAACCAGGTGTAGTTAGTCACAGCCGACCAGGTGTAGTTAGTCACAGCCAACCAGGTGCAGTTAGTCACAGCCAACCAGGTGTAGTTAGTCACAGTTGACCAGGTGTAGTTAGTCACAGCCAACCAGCCAACCAGGTGTAGTTAGTCACATTCGACCAGGTGTAGTTAGTCACATTCGACCAGGTGTAGTTAGTCACAGCCAACCAGGTGCAGTTAGTCACAGCCAACCAGCCAACCAGGTGTAGTTAGTCACAGCCAACCAGTTGACCAGGTGTAGTTAGTCACAGTCGACCAGGTGTAGTTAGTCACAGCCAACCAGTTGACCAGGTGTAGTTAGTCACAGTCGACCTGTCGAACAGGTATAGTTAGTCACAGTCGACCAGGTGTAGTTAGTCACAGCCAACCAGTTGACCAAGTGTAGTTAGTCACAGTCGACCAGGTGTAGTTGGTCACAGTCGACCTGTCGAACAGGTGTAGTTAGTTACATGTGTATGATGTTGTTATGGAGATGTGATGCAGCTTGTTCACCTTGTGATGGAACTCTGAGGTCGCCTCCATCAGCTTCTTCTCCTGTTCAGTGAACTGACAGAAACACACGCACACAACTGTGATGCGTTCACTGACTGATGAACATGTTGAAGAGACTGAGCTGTGATGCGTTCACTGACTGGTGTCCTGACTCACCATGTCGGAGATCCTGCTGCTCTCCAGGTTGATGTCTAGTTTAGTTTCAGCTCGGACTTTCTGGCTCTCCTCCTGAACAGAAACACGTTGGTAAAACATCAGTTTCCACATCAGAGCAGTTGAACGGACTCCGACAGTTTCTCACCTTCAGTCTGTTTTGTAGCTGCTCCAGCTCTCGCCTCATTTTCTGTCGGAAGATAAAGAGTTAAAATAACCGGTAAAGCGGGAAACCTGTGTCTGTGAACGCACCGTTTAATCAGTTAAAACACTGAGCACAACTTTATTTAGGCTGCGTATATAGTTTAATGTTTTTACATTTTCCTGCTGTGGCTGTGGGTAAATGATGAAACTATATTTTTTACAATATTGAGTTATTCTGTAACAATAATCTGAGTGATTATCACTAAATATTTAAACATTTTAATAAACACGTGTCATTTTGTTCTTGTATTTTGTGTCCCGGCTGCTTTGTACTTTGTTAAATTAATACAGTGAGACTTTTCTCTGAGTTTGTGCAGAAATAAACGACATGATGTGTGTGAAGAGAAGATGAAATAATGTAAATATTCAACCTGCAATGATTTCTGAGTGATGTACAGTTTGTCTTATTGTTTTGTATGTGACACGTCTGATGTCATCTTTATTATTTTTGTATAAAAACCCATTTTATAAGTTTAATGTTCAGACTGACAGCCGCTGACGTCACCTTCACTAATGAGTAAAGGAAAAACACTGATATATATATTTACTGGTACCAAGTTCTCAGACCGGAGGTTGGCGAACTCGCTCTTCTCCAGGATCACCATGTCCTTCCTGATGGAGTCCAGGTGAGCTATGATCTGCTGCACGGCGATCTCCTGATGATGAAACACAGGTAAGCAGGTGGAGCTGCTCGCAGAGACCCCGCCCACGCAGACCCCGCCCTCCACGACCAGCTGAGACCTGCTCCTACCTGGTGGGATTTGGTCACCATGTCTTTATAGACAATGTCCATGTTCGCCGTCGCCAGAGTCACGAGAGCTGAGACGATCAGCTCCGCCTGGCGCCTCTCGAAACCTGCACGAGATTTCAAAATAAGAGCTGTCACTCTGGGAGGTGTGATGGGAGTTTTTCACTTTGTTTTTCTTTTTGTCGCATCCTCACCGCTGCTCTCCAGCTCAATCACCATGGAGTGGGAGTCAAAGGTGAGTTTTCTCTGCTCCAGAGGCGTCAGTTCCACTTTCCTCAGGTCAAAGGTCACCACAGGTGAAGTCACATGGAAATCTGAGACACACACACACACACACACACACACACACACACACACACACACACACACACTAAAGCACTGAACTGTGATGTGACTGGTATACATGCTTAGGTGACTGGACTATGATGTGTTCACTGTCTGATGTATGTGCTAAGGAGACTGCACTGTGATGCGTTCACTGACTGATGTATGTACTTGTCTGTTTTGGGGTATATTTACAACCTTAAAGGAACAGTTTGATAACTCACTATAAATATGAAGCGGCTCTCTTTGCACTTCAGTACTAACAGTGAGAGACACGTGTGTGACTGTGTATGATGTATGACGATCATCAAGTCTATTAATTAATTGATTAAGAAAATAGTGAAAAACGTCGTCACATTTACCCAGAATGCAAAGTGACGCCTTCACAGTGTCTGTTCTGTCTGATCAACACTCAAACACCAACTTTATTCAAATCACTAACAAGCGTCACACTTTAAAAGGTGGAACCAGGAAATAAAAACCACTGATTCACTGGGTCAGTCTGTGACGTCATCATGACTGATTAAGTTCGTGTTACTGTGTTTTATTCTGAAGGGATCAGTGTGGACATTTAGAGGTCTGTAGACCGGGTCCAGTCTCAGGAACTGGTCTGGTTTCTGACCCACTCCACAGGTTGTCCTCAGCTCTGAATCAGGACCTCTCACTGCGACCGGAACTTTCCCTCCTCAGAAACTAAACCAGGACTCACCTCTCCAGGTTCCGGTTCCGACCCACCGCAGGTGACAACACCGCCGCAGCACGTTCATCCCGGAAGCTGCTGTGTTTATACGTTTTAGTTAAAGTCAGTTAAAACTTCAGAAGCACTCACTCACTCTCTCTCTCTCTCTCTCTCTCTCTCCTGCAGGTTGACCGGATAATCCGGTCGTCCCCATGCCGCCTTCAGGGACCCTCGGAATTCTCCTAGTTATGGGATTGCCTGGAGCAGAGGACACTTCACTGTCAGGGATCGTAACTTTAGTAAAAACAAACAATAAAAAAAAACGTTAATAAAAATACCAAGAAGACAAAAACGTTGAAGTAATCTTTTTCTAAAGCGATCACAGAGCAGCGGGTTAATGTTTAAACCTGGAGATCAGCTGTGACAGTGTCCGGCACCGACATTGTCAATAAAGTTTTGCTCACAGAGTCAACAGGCCCGGTGTCATGGCGGCTCCTGTGGCGGACAGCCGGAGCTGGTTTCCAGCGTTAGCTCTGGGAGTTTCTCTGCTCAAATGTCTCTTCATCAGCTGCTAGTGAGTGGAAATTATCCGACGTGAGCCGGTTTCATTCAGCTTCACGACGACGTGTTGTTTTACGGATGATAGTTTAGCCTGTTAGCATCTGGCTAACGGCTACACGCTAGAAAAGATCGCCTTTAATTAAATATTAACGTTAATGGGGATGATAATGCGTAGATTTTAGAGGAGTTGATAGAAAACAAACTGTATGTAAAGTGAGGCGGGGCTGTGGTAACATTAACTTGACGTGTTATTAACTCCCGGTCTTTGTAGCTAAACAGCCTCAAGATGGCGCTGTTTTTCAGTAGAAGTTAGTTTGCTAGCTGAGTTGTAAAGTTTTTAACACAATTTATTAATTATTAGCGCGAAACTGAGACACGTCCGACTCACGTATTTAAATCATGACGTTGTTTTACTTTGTTTCGTGCTGTTACACCCTGTTTGAAGCTGTAGGCTAAAGAAATGGTAGTATTATATGTATATATATTATACAGCCTATTTAGTTTACTGGTGGTAGTCATTTTTCAAAAATCTGTATTAAATTATCAATACTTAGGAGAGCTCCAGAGAACACCTATTTGATTTAGATAATTAGTGAACTGTTGTGTCTGTCAGTCATTCCACAGACTTTGAGGTGCACAGGAACTGGTTGGCCATCACACACAGTCTGCCGGTGTCCAGGTGGTACTATGAGGTCAGTATGGGGGCGGAGTTTCTCTGTCAGAGGTCTTTGGGATGACCTGGAACACTGAACCTATCACCAGCCAGCTCTGAGCTGCTGATGTTTGTTAGTTTTTTTATAATCCACATGTTTGCCGCCACTGCAGAACACGTCTGAGTGGACTCTGGACTACCCCCCGCTGTTCGCCTGGTTCGAGTTCGGCCTGTCCCACGTGGCTCAGCACTTCGACAGAAACATGCTGCTGGTGGAGAATCTGAACTACGCCAGTCCGTCCACGGTGCTCTTCCAGAGGCTGTCGGTCGTCTTCACCGACCTGGTTTTCATCTATGCTGCCAAAGAGTGAGTCTGATCATAGCCGTCATCTACAGCCACCACAGAGGAAGAGTGGGGTTGCAAAGATCATTCATGGGGGCAGGGGTGAGGACAGAGGTGACCCCTTTGGTGCCCCCCATAACATATAGGTGGTGAGGTTCTAGTTGTGGGTACAGACCCTGGGCCCCTGGAATGTCTTTCAGTCATTCAGGCTTTTAGTTCTGGTGCCACTGATGACCCGTGTCACGGATCGCTGTATTTGAAGGACAGTGAACTGTTTTCTCAGTCACATTAAAAGACAAGAAGAGGCTGAAACTTTGAATCTAAGTTTTACTAAGGAACTTGCTCCTGATTGGCTCTGTCCTCGTCCAGGTGCTGCAGGTGTGTTCAGGAGCAGAAAAGCTCTCGGGACGTCCTGAACCGGCCGTCCTTCGTCCTGGCTGTCCTGCTGCTCTGGAACTTCGGCCTCCTCATCGTGGACCGTATCCTTCCCACGAGCTGGACTCTGACAGGACGAGACGTCAGAGAGTCAGAGTCTGAGCGACTCCAGGTTTCCACCATCGAGATGCTTCTTGTGTCACAAGTTTTATGATTTAGCTCCAGAGTCATTTCTCTCTGAGTGGGGCCCATCTGCATCATCTGACCTGTTTTTTAAAGGATCTCTTCTCCATTTTAAAACGATCATTTTCTCTTTTGAAAAGATCAACACTTACAGGATTGTCTCAAGACATTTTCAGTTAAGAGTTTTACATGTAGTAGATGGAGAAATAAAGTCAAACTAAAATTCTTTAATTTTCCATCACAACTTTCAATGTGTGTGTGTGTGTGTGTGTGTGTGTGTGTGTGTGTGTCTTCATCATAATGACCATGATGAACCTTCTTTAACATGACTCCTCAGACATTCATTTCCAGTATAACGGTTTCCTGTTTGGTTTCCTGTTGCTGTCGGTGGCGAAACACCTGCAGGTTTCAGACTTTTTGTCTTTATAGATAAAGTTGATGTTGTTTGATCTTTGATTTAATGCTGTCACTGTGAAGGAGCTGTAGAAACGTTGTTGTTTGTGTGACAGTCTCAGCACCTGCAAGGGGCGCTGCTGTTCTCCGTCCTGCTCAACCTGAAGCACATCTACCTGTATGTGGCTCCAGCATACGGCATCTACCTGCTGAGGAGCTACTGCTTCACCCAGGACAACAAAGGTACCACACACACACACACACACACACACACACACACACACACACACACACACACACACACACACACACACACGTGTGAACTGGTCTGGACTGGTTTCTGCTGCCTGCCTTCAAAAACGTTTTCTAATCCACAAACCTCAATAAATAGAACCCAGTTCGTATCTGTGTCTACGGCAGAACATTGCCATAGTAACAGTAACCACAGTGACTGTTTTTCAGATGGTTCAGTCAGGTGGAGGAGTTTCAGTCCACTCCGTCTGCTGGCTCTGGGCTCCATCGTGACCTCCACCTGCGCTCTGTCCTTCGGCCCCTTCATCGTCATGGTGAGTGTCACAAACACCTGAACACCTAAACACTTCAACACCTCAACACCTGATGGCGTGTGTTTACTCCAGGGTCAGCTCCCTCAGGTCGTGTCCCGTCTCTTCCCCTTTAAGAGGGGCCTCTGTCACGCCTACTGGGCCCCCAACATCTGGGCCCTCTACAATGTGCTGGACAAAAGCCTGGCGACGCTCGGTGAGACTCCGCCTCCTCACAGCGCCCGGCTGGGTATCGAACTTTAGACTGATTGATTCTGTATCGGCTAGTCGTAGTCACGTGTTGCTCTGTGTCCTCCACCTGCTCAGGTGTTCGTCTGAAGCTGCTGGAGGAGGCGGAGCTTCCCAAAGCCTCCATGACGGGAGGGCTGGTTCAGGAGTTTCAGCACTCGGTCCTCCCCTCCGTCTCTCCCTCCGTCACACTCGTCTGCACCCTGCTCTCCATCCTGGTGAGTCACGACAAACAGAGACTGAGAGGTCAAAGGTCAAAGGAAGTGTTGATGTTTTAACCTCTCTCTCCCTCTCTCTGTCTGAAGCCGGCCGTGGCGTCCATCTGGTGGCGTCCTTGCGGCGCTCGGGGTTTCCTGCGCTGCCTGCTGCTCTGCGCTCTGGGCTCCTTCATGTTCGGCTGGCACGTCCACGAGAAGGCCGTCCTCATCGCCATCCTGCCTCTCAGGTCGGCCGCTGACATCACATGACATCACATGACATCACATGACATCACATGACATCACTGCAGCTTTAGACAAACAGAACCAACGATCCTGATTCATCATCCAGTTTAACAACAGAACGGTCCATCAGATGTTTCTCATCATGATCTGTTTGATCAATAATATTAGAGATTATTGAATCATTTCCCTCAAATGTTTTCATTTTTCATGTTCTTCATTTTAGAACCTGTGTAATTAATAATGAATTCACAAGCAGAACATCAGTGTAATGTGAAGATTAATGTAAGTACAAACTGCAGCCAGCAGGCGTCGCCACAGAGCTGTCAGCTCCTCATCGTTTCCTCTCCTCATCACGTCCTCAATGTTTACCTCCAGGTGGATTTCGATTGGTCCCCAGATTCACCAGCCAATAGAACGAGGGAGGAGGTGGAGCTAGAGTAGAGTTAACTGCGGGAACATCTGGACTGATGTTCTGTCTGTTTCTCTTCCTGCAGCATCCTGGCGGTTGAGAGCAGAGAGGATGCTGGGATCTTCCTGGTTCTGAGCACCACAGGTCATTACTCCCTGTTCCCGCTGCTCTTCACCCCCGCAGGTAAACCGTCAGCTGATCAGGACCTTCACCTGTCAGTGACCTGTCTGTTTGATCCTGATGAAAAGCTAACCCTGTCGTTCTGTGTGTGACACTGAAACCACACGACTGTTTATCTGATGTGTTTTTCAGAGCTGCCAATCAAAGTGGTCCTGATGCTGCTGTTCACCATCTACTCTGTCACTGCTCTGCGGAAACTCCACAGGTAAAGATTCACCTTTACATCTGCAGGTGTTTATTTCATTAACAAACTAACTACAAACTGACTGAGCTGATGTTTCTAACTTTAAAGCTCCATGTTTCTTCTTCTGTGTTTTATTTGAAGTGTTGATCCATCAGAAGATATAAAAACCATCTCAGTGTAGTTTTACATCTCCTCTCTCAGGCTTCTCTCTGGAGCTCTAGTAACAACAGGTCGGTGAGCCAATCAGAAGAGAGGAGGCTCTGAGCCTCTCTTCTGATTGGCTGACTGTTTTCTGACTCATCCAATAAAAATAAAGCAGATTTCAGGTAAAAACACTCAGAGAAACCAAATCCTGCAAGGTTTGGATGGTGGGTCCAGGTGGGCGGGGCTTGGTGACTGCTTTGTTGTGACATCACAAAGTTCCAGAAGTCCTGACGGCTGGTTTTAAGGCTCAGTTTCTGAATACAGGCTGTGTGCATTTCTCTGTGGACTGAGGCTTTGATACTTTCACAGTATTAATATAGAAGCTAGACCTGATCTATAATCACACTACACATGGACACAGACCTTTACACTGGAGGAGCTTTAGAGACAGTAATGATCTTTAAAGGAACCAGAGCCACAGACAGAGGAGAGCAGCAGATGTTTCTAGTTTCTGTTTAATTTAAGGAACTGTGTGATGTTGGATTATTCAATACATTTTTTTTGGGGGGCTTTTTGTGCCTTTAATGGGCAGGACAGCAGAGAGACAGGAGATGGGGAGGCAGAGAGAGGGGGAATGACACGCAGGAAAGGGCCGTCCGATGCGGGAGTCGAACCGAGGACTGTAGCCTCTATATATAATTTATATATAATATAAATATAATGTTCATATTGGACTTGAATGTAAATTAAATCTGTCTTTTAGTTAAAAGTAAGAAGAGTTTATATCAGTTTTTATTGATATGAGAACTGAGCAGATGTTTTTGTCCAACTCTTCTTTATAAAACCAGGATCAGTTTTTGTGACTCTGTGGTTCCACATCTGTACAACATCTGCCCAAAGCTGCTTTGATTAGTTGATTAATAGATTATTAAAGGATATGAAAATTAATCAGAAATTATTTTGAAAATCAAAAATAAATATTTTTGAAATAGAAAATAATCAGCCAATTAATTGGTGATGAGTGATGAATAGTTTCAGCCTGAGTCAGATGATCTGGAGAACGTGTTCTCTGTCACTAATCACATTACTCTGTCCTGTCAGAGGGCAGGGCTCTCTGCTCCATCCCCTGGAGGTCGTCTACCTGCTCGGCCTTATCGCCGTGGCGATCACCTGCGAGATTGTCTTCCCTCTGTCGCCGTGGCAACAGAAACTGCCCTTCCTCCCCCTGCTGGCGACCTCGGTGTACTGCTCGGTGGGCGTCTGTTACTCCTTCCTGCGTCTGTACATCAGTCTGCTGAGGCGGGAGGAGAAGCCCAAGCAGCCGTGAGACGCCCCGTCCCATACCTGAGAGCTTGCAGGTTAGATCCCCGACACACCTACGTCCGTCCTGCACACTGAGCCGGACGCTCAGACACTGACTGCTCACGGTGCGGACCGGCCAGAGGAAACAAACACTGCCTCTGGCTTTTAGCAGATTCTTCTCCTTCTCCTTCTCCTTCTTCTTCTTGAACATCGACCAAACACAGACACGTCACTTCACATCCAGATGTTTCCAGCAGCTACAGCAGTTTAGGGTCAGAACATGAGCAACTGATCGGTTGTGAGGTTCAGTGTGTGCTGTTCCCAGAGCCTGAAATATGATCAATACAAGACAAACACATCGATACCCAGCTACAGCTAATTAAAGATACAGCTCCTTTTAAATTTAAGGAACCAGCTGATGATGTGAGTTTGGATTCACACACTTTTGATAAAAAGTCTGAGCAGCTGTTTCCACTGAGTCTGTGAAGACGTTAGCTTGTGTTTGGTTCGGCTGTGGATGTGACATCACACTGTGTCACAGGTGTTGGGTAAATGACGTGTTATTTTCCATTAACTGCGTCAAGTTCAGGTGCCACTCTCTCTAGTGTGAATGTAGTTGTTTGTCTCTCCACCTCTTAACCAATGCATGCTGGGATAGACGCCAGTATGGACGCTACATTACTGGAAGGATGATGGACGACTGTTTTAAATTAAAGACCATGTGGACCAAAGCAGAGCTGAGAGACAGACGATGACGATGATGATGATGATGATGATGATTGTTTTTTTATATTTTCAAATAAAAACAAAGCTGAAGTTGTCACGTTTGTGTATGTGATGATGTTCACTGTGACTGAAACCCTGAAACCTTCTTTAGATCTCAAACTGGATTCAGGTTCCTGGACCATGAGGTGTGAGACTAGTGGGTTCAGGTCTTTATGATTACAGCTGCTTGTAAAGTTGTTATTCAGACAATAATACAATAATTAAATGTTCAATAAAATAATAAACTGATCTGAAGAACAATCACAGCTAAAGGGGGACGTGGTCCGACCGAGTCAGACCTGACCATATGTTGATCTGATTCACATCAACATCAGGTCCTGATGATGTCATTGTGTCTGATGTCCCTTCAGAATAAAGCACTTCAGAGAGAATCCTCCTGTTCCTTCAGTATCACAGTGGTTCAGAGCATCATGATACACTGCAGACAGGAAGTGATCACAGCTGATTCAGGTCTATATGTGTGTGTTTCCATCAGATCAGCAGAACCAGTCGAATTATTAATTCATGTGTCGATAAAAGACGCAGGTTGTTTAAAAACTTTATTGATAAGGCAACACAAAACATGATTGGTTAGAATGGGCTGTTTTACAGGACAAATTTTCACTGTAAAAGTCTCTATTGCACAATAAGAAGTGTGAGCGTTGACTGTACGACTATCAGCAGCTTTAAGGACAAAATGGCCGCCTCTCTTCTCTTCTTACCATCAAGTGTGAGTTCATGATCAGTTTTGACTCTACAGACATGTTCAAACATCCCCATCATCCTGCTCTTGTCTCACTCATCGTATAAAAGTAAAAAGGTTTAAAACACTCAAATCACCCAGAAGATTCCTTCAAAATAAGAGACCAGTCACACAAACCAACAACTACACTGTGAGGAACAAAATAAAACAATATTCACATGTAGCTACGAATCAAAACGTTTTCATGATGAAGTTCAAAGCGTCTATAAAGATGTGACTGAGAAAAAAAACAACTAAAATCCCTCAAATTAAAACGAATGACGGTTCCAGTCTCTGTGATCTGATCCAAAATCGGTGAAGAAGAACATTTCACTAAATGTTGAACTGTTAAATGTAGTGGGAAAACTTCAAAGTACAGATTCAGGTTTTAAAGCTCCTCCAGTGTAAAGGTCTGTGTCCATGTGTAGTGTGATTATAGATCAGCTCTAGCTTCTATATTAATACTGTGAAAGTATCAAAGCCTCAGTCCACAGAGAAATGCACACAGCCTGTATTCAGAAACTGAGCCTTAAAACCAGCCGTCAGGACTTCTGGAACTTTGTGATGTCACAACAAAGCAGTCACCAAGCCCCGCCCACCTGGACCCACCATCCAAACCTTGCAGGATTTGGTTTCTCACAACAAAGCAACCTCTGTGGTTGGTTCACTGTCTTTAATAACAGTGGGATAGAAGAGTTGGGACCTTTGATCAGGTCTGGACTCATTAGAGGTGAACAGGTTCAGGTTCACTCCAACCATGTAATCAGAAACTTAAATCTTCTCTGTTAGATAATAATTAGACATCTCTGCTGTCCTGGTGCCCTGGTGGCCTGGTGGCCTGGTTTAGCCTGGTTTAGCCTGGTTTGGCCTGGGTGACTCTGTGGACTGGCCTGGTGCCAGAGGAGCTGCTGGAGCAGGTTGTAGAGGATTAATGTGTCCATGAATACACTGCTGAGGAAGCTAGGAGTAGAGAGTGAATTAACTGGATGTTTTTAAACGTTATTTTCAGTTTGAATCAGTTTCTGTTTTAAAATCGTCGTTTTTCAAACCTTCACTTCTTCTTCTCTCTCTCTCCTCCGGCTGCCGAGTCTCTCCTTCATATTTAAACCTCTGTGCTGCTGCTGCTGCTGGTGAAGCTAATCTGCTCCATTACAGCTCAGGCTGCTGAACCTTTTACAGCATTAAGAGGATCAGCAGCTTCAGAGAAAAAGACCAGGACGCACTCCCAGCATGCACTGCTCAGCACCTTCACTTTGAGAAACACAAACTTAATTTTTCTAGAAAATGTTCGTTTCATTTTACAAACGTCTCGACACAAGCAGCCGAACAAAAACGTAGTTTGATAAAACACTTTCTAAAATCTGCAGAATTGTGAATGAAGTCTGTGTCAAACAGGAAGTAAACAGCATCCAATCTGAGAACGTATTCGATTTCAACTGATAATTTGGAGTTTCTGTTATTTGATACTCTCGGTACCAAAACAGTTCTGAAGTTTGTATCTGGTACCTTTAAAAGACCACGATCTCCACTAGATTTCAAAATAAATTTCTTTGGTTTGACCATTTGGGAACGAAGTGATCTGTGAGGTGAAGGACAGATTCAAAGATCAAAGTCTTCAGAAGTCTTTGTCAAATATTAGTTCCTTCTTCAACCTTATACCTGGAGGCGGGGGGGGGGGTCTGAGCAGCCAATCACAGTCCATCAGGAAGTGAAACATTCCCAGCACCTGTTGTTTCCTGCTGCCTCGCTCAGACCAGAGAACAGCAGAAGACTTTAAGGGGGTGGACCAAGTCTCTTCTCTTTTGTGAAGAAGGTGAGAGTTGATTTCTTCTTCTTTCTCTGTTTTTGGGTGGGGGGTCAATCAGTCTTTGTGGTCCCGGTTCAGCTCCGGTTCAGCTCTGGCTCTGCGCTCGGCCCTCCACAATGATGATTAACACCGGCGTCAGGTCCATCAGGTTCTTCAGCATCTCCATGATGTCTTCGTGGCCTTTGGCGCCCTCGATGAACTCCTCAAGGGTCATCTCACCTGAGGGGTCGAAGGTCAAAGGACAGGTGAGGGGTTATCAGGGGTGAGTTGTATTTTTATACTTTCGTATCCAGACCACTACAGCCAAGGACGGATGAACGTGAAAATGTGCATGAACAGTATCTATCTTGTTAGCTAGTTAGCATCCTAGGAAGCTAACAAGGCCACAGGTGTGATGCAGGTAGTTCAACAGACCTATCTGGTTTGTGGTTTCACCTTTGGTCCTGGGTGGGTCTGAACCATTAGCTTTAGCGGTCTGTCAGAAAACAGCCTGTTTATTGTTACCTTCTCCTTTCACGTCGATCCTCTCAAATATGAGTGAGACGATCTCCTCGGGGTCGATGTCCCGGTTCCGTGTGATGTCCTGGATGGCCTGCAGGGGGAGACAGTGAAGACAGCATGAGCAGGATCTGCCCTTTAGCTCAGAAGACTCAGACGAGTCAAAGACTGGACGTCGGGGGTGGACGATCATTTGGCCAGAATTCAAAAGTTTTAAACGGTTAAATGGAGAAAACCGTAAATAAAATATTATTTTTTCTTTTCCATTTCAGGATTTAAAATTTCACTTTTCAAATTTCCATTTCACAAAATCCGTCACCATTTGAACGTCCAACGTCCTTTTACGGTTTATTTTTCTTTTAACATTTACTTATGGTCCAGTTTGTCCTGAGTACTAAAACATTACATTACAAACATACATTTGACATTTTCTGCTGCAGAGGGTTTAACCCCCCCGCAGCAGACTGGACTGGTGCTCCTCACACTGGTTTGATGTTCACTGTAACTGGGTTAGCTCCCTGTCGGCTCACGGACTGAGCTCATTCAGCAGATTAACGCTTGTCTAATTTCAGAGCTAATCCAGCTCCAGCTCTGCTGACTCAGAGTCAGTTCACTCAGAGGAGCAGAATCAGGAGATCAAGCTGTAGGTCAGGTTCAGGTGGAACCCCCCCCCCCCCGTCCCCTGATTGGTCACCACAGTCACAACCTCTGGTGACTGTTCACATTTCTTGTTGCAAAGTTTATTTCACTCTTTTCAAACACACGGAGCTTCTCTCTGCAGCCGCCGGCGTCTACAGATCTGCGTGTGAGGCGTTTAGGGAACATCTGTAAACTGTAGGTACAGAAAATAACCAGGGTCTCCCCCTCTGAACTGCACGAGTCTCTGTTTGCACCACCACAAGTACATTCTCAACCTGTGGGAAACTCCATGAAAACTTATGTTGAAAATGATGTTTGTGTAATAAGTGATATAAAGTTATGGTATAAAGCAACTTTGCACTTTTCCTGAAAGATCTCCAGCACTGGGATTATATTTACTGTTATAATATATATATATGTGTGTATCATCTGTAACACATATAAAGTTATAGGAGATATTTCCATCACAAACACACTGTGATGCTTTATGTTAATGATATATAATGATGTTATAATAATATAATGTTATTCAACATATATTATTGTGTGTGTGTGTGGTAGAAAGACGGTGTGTGTATCCGGATCCTGTGCAGTGTCTTTGAGACTCAGAACTAACAGACTCATAAACTCATGTGTCTCTGCTCCCATTGGTTTCTGCACAGTCTAATGTAACTCATGTCTTTTGTGTAACTTGCTTGAAGGTCAGTGAGTCCGATTATTGTATTTACTGTATTGATTTACTGCTGTCTGCCATAAACTGCCCCTCAGGTCCCTTGAACCTTGGTCAGTAACACTAGAAAAGTTCTATATAAGCTCAGTCCATTTATTATCATCTGAACAGATGCTAGCAGTTGAGCAGCACGTCTGGTTAGTAGTTGTTGGGTTGTTGTTGGGTTGTTGTCGCCGTCAGTGTTTGTGAGGTGTGTGTCACGTACTGAGAAGATGGTCTCCAGCTCTTCCTTGTCGATCTTCCCGTTGCCGTCCTGGTCGAACAGTTTGAAGTACCACTTGAGTTTCTGGTTGATCTCTCCTTTGAGCAGAAGACTGATGGCAGCGATGTACTCCACAAAGTCAATGTATCCGTCCTGCAGACAGAGAGGAGGAGCCACGCTGAGGCCGAGAGCACCAGGAGCCGCTGCACAACACACCTTCACTTCTACTCAAGTTTAATTTCTCCTCAGCTGAGGGAGTTACTTGTGTTGCACAGAATCTCTTAAAAGGTTTCCTGAGTTAAGGAGAAAAGTTAAGTAATTCACAGCGGTAAAATTCTCCTGTTTCTATGGGAACTGTTGATTTGCTGCCATTAGCCTGTGGGAAGACAGCGACATTAAAGGAGTGCACTGATGTCTCATCCTCCTGTTGGTTAGTTCAGACAGAGGCAGAGGGACCTTTAGTTTTGTCCCTTACTTTGGTCACTAAGGTCTTTCGTGCAACGGATTAACTGGCCTTAAGTGATTCCTTAAGTATAAGACTGGTATAAGGAGAAAACGTTAAATACTTAAGTGAACAACCTTAAGGAGAAGACTTAAGGTGTTTCTCTGAGGGTCCTCACTGTATTCTACAAAGTTCAGGCCTGATTTAAATCTGGAGGTTAGAATTCAAGCTAGAATAAACCTGTGGAGAGAAACATCTGTCACATCTGGTCAGTCGGTGCCGAATGTTTAATCAGATTCATGGTATTTTCTTTTTTTTACAGATTCCTGATTTCAACGATCCTTCAAACCACAATCAGAGTTTGTTCTGTCCGTCGACCTGAAGGTAAAAACAGATCGTTTATAAATCAGCTCTGATGTTAACGAACCTCCGATCAGACCTTCAACCTCTCCTCACTCATTGGCGGAAAACAGCCGCAGCTCGTCACGTTCAGAGAGTCCACACTGAATCAGGTAAACCTCAGAGCGACAGCTGCTGACAACATCTGTATTTCATCACAGTCGCACACAGTTAAAACGAACTGTCAGAGGAAGTGAGAGATGAATGAAGCCAAACACTGAACCAGCGTCTGATTGTGGTTGTGTCCTCAGCAGGGACTCGTCTCTGATCAGCTGATGTCAGTTCAACCTCTGTATGGAGCCGCTGTAACATCTGGATCAGGAGCTCCAGGTGTCTCAAACAGCTGCAGGCTCTGGACCTGGACCTGGACCTGGACCTGGACCTGGACCTGGACCTGGACCTGGACTTGGATTCTTTGTATCAGTGGATGTTTCTGTCGCTCAGAGAGAAGGTCATGAGTCCACTGATCACTGAGGTCTAGCTCGAACTCATTGTTCTGTACCAGCTGCCTCCAGCTCCACAAAGAAGCTCCTGACGTTTCAGTAAGTTCAGGACTCCATCATCATCATCATCATCATCATCTTCATCATCATCTTCATCATCATCATCATCATCTTCATCATCATCTTCATCATCATCATCAGATCTCTGCTGCTCGTCAGAAACACAGCATCTTCTCATGCACCTGAATACCTGAAGATTAGAGATGTAGAGAGTCCTAACATACACACTGTGAAGGTCAGAGCTGTGTCTGCGATAAAAACCACAGAAGAAGAAGAAGATATTCACTGTATATGTATATTTTCTACAGGAGGATCAGACCTGACACCAACAGTCATCCAGTCAGACCACAGCAACAGTCCAGGGCCGGACTGAGGCTTTGGAAACCTAATGAGCTGCCTCAGGCCCCGGGGGCCCCCAGGAGCCACCAGGGGCCCCCACCACAACAATTCAGTAAACCAACTTTATTTGTGTTGTGTGTATCTTGGAGACATGGGTCCACCAAAGGTTTTGGTTAAATCATGAAGCATCCCATGATCCTTCACTTCAAACATTAAACTCCCCAAAACTGGAGATACGAGGTTTCACCTGACAGGGACCAAACTCAAGTCCTGTGATTGATTTACTGATTTATTTTGCTTGATAAATCTGTATCAGTATCATCAGGTCATGGACAGTAACTAAGTACTTTAAAGTACACAGTATGTGTGTGTGTGTGTGTGTGTGTGTGTGTGAAACACACCCCGTCCATGTCGAAGGTGAAGAACACCTGGTCCACGTAGCTGTTGGCGTCCTCGTTCATGCCCTTCAGGCCGAGGATGGCCTTCAGCTCGAACAGCGTGATGAGGCCTGACGGAGACTCGCGCATGAACTTGTTGTACCAGTGGTGCATGTCCTCGGCCAGGATGTCGTCCAGGTTCGAGCCGTGGTTCCCCATGGGTGCGGTCCGGCGAGTGCACCGAGGTGAAGACGGACAAAACCTCAAGAAGAAGGAAAGTTTCCTGTCACAGAGGACGGAGGCTGCAGGAGAGGGTTTCAGAAGAGGACTCCACACCAGAACAGACGCCTGATGACAATAAAACCTTGGTAAACGCGTCTACAGTCCTCGTCTTCGACCCTCAGAACGATTAAATATCTGTGGCGCCGGCGGCGATGCCAACAGGCTTCAGCAGCAGGAGCGTAGCACCGGCCGACACCCAGGCTGCAGTGACTCTGCAGCAGAGAGCAAACCTCAGGACTCTAACCCTCTTAGGTCCCTGAGGAAGAATCAAGGACGCTTCCAAAATAACTCCCTAATGAGATCAGGCCGGAGGCGGGAGACGCCAGAGGCCGGGCCAAGAGGCTTTACCTGCCCAGGCCAGCTGAAGGAGACGGGCCTGGCCTGGAAAGCAGGATGGTTATATAACAGACTCACCTGGGTGCCCCGGGTCAAAGGAGAGGTTCCTCCATGAGACGCCCACACAGGACGTTTCCCCTGGGGGAGGAGCCTGATGGAGCGTAAGGACCTTCAACAGAGAGGATGAAGGTTTCAGGTAAAACAGACTGTGATGCTTCAGTATGAAAGAGCTGAGTACAGTTACTGAACAGCTACACACACCTGTACACACACCTGTACATGTGTGATGGTGAATCATCTGAACACAGCTGGATGAACAGCTGATGTTTTTATATCACCTGTGTGGAGTCGAGTCACACGGTGTGTTTTCATTGGCTGAGAGCCGTCATCTCTCTGTGCTGACAGTAAAACGTTTCATCTCAGTTTCTGTGACCTTTGACCTCGTGAAGTGCGCTGTGGTCAATAACAGTCTGTAATAGGCTCAGAGCTACTGGTGGTGATCCAGTTAAACCCAGAATGACAACTTCAGAGGATTCTGGGAATCTGAGAGTTACCTGTCGTCTTTTGTTTCACAATCTCACACCAACAACAACAAACAAACAAACAGGAGACCAGGAGCTGGATTAGTATCATGGATGGGTCACTGTACAGGACTACCAGGTCCAGACCCAGGACCCCAAGACCAGAACCTCTGTAAGAACTGTTAGCTTTTCTTGTTGGAAAGTCAATGAATGACCACAAACAGACAGGAAACAACCACAGAGAGACACTAAAGTAAAACTGCGACCTGCCTTGGTTTTACTTTAGTGATGAAAAATGTATTTATGGACACTGAACTTGGGACCATTTATTATGCATGAAAGGCAAGTGGCAGGAAGAAGACCATAAAAGTCATGGACAGTTTGAAAATACCAAAATAAAAGGTCTGTGATCAGAACTTAGTCCAGACCTGATGATTCACAGTGACTCCTGCAGTCAGAGCAGGACTGAGCTTCACTCAGAGACAGTGTGTTCACTCAGTCAGCAGCTTTTATTAAACTGTGATTCATGATTCACAGAGTGATGAAGTTTCCATCGTCCCGCTGCTGATCTGAGGCCAGTTTAATGAGCCACTGTGTTTTTATACTTTCAGTATCTTTTGATTATTTGAAAACACTTTTGACCTTTTGAACAAAACCCAAAGTTCAGCACTGTGTCTCTGTGGAGGCAGAACGACCTCTGAACAGGTAGAAACTGTGAACAGAACCTGGCGGTGGTTTCCAGAGCGACGGGCTCCTGCTGTTGATCTGTGTTATTTGTAGCAGCAGTGACACTGGATGTGAGTGTATCAGAGGATCACACAGATTATCCAGACTTAGATGTGAACACAGCGAGCAAGGGCAGCAGCCAGGTTTCCTCCTCTCGCTGCTTTTCCAGGTATCGGCCCTCAGTGGATTTACAGGAACCTGTCGAGACCTACCAGCTGTGGAAATCACAGAGCTGCAGGGGGAGTTCAAAGGTCGCGAGCGAATCTCATTCACTATGTGACTCAGATGACCCGGGGGTCGCAGGCCAGGTGGGGGCAGTCAGGTGTCAGGTGGACTGTGGTGAAGCAGAGAGTTTATGTTGACTCAGAACTAAAGTTCAGTGCTGTGTTCGGCAGCTTTACAAACCAAATAGTTTTCCAGAATAGAGTTAGCTCACCAGCTAAAACACGTCAGCCACTCAGAAATACAAGATGGCCGCCACATCATACTTAAAACAACATTTACCTAAACTTTAGGAGTCAATCATAGCGAGGGACCTCTCCTTCATCAGCATGAAAATGATTTTTAATAATATTTAATTGACATTAAGAATCGTGACTTTAATCTCCTCAGAGTCAAAAACAGGATTCAATTAAAAAATCATTGAAATTTGTCTTCTGGGGTAAAACATGGTTTGAAATTGAAAGTGGCTAATGAGATTTTTCAGAGGGATAAATTTACCAACTGCTGCTTGTTTCCACATTTGCTGATTACAGTGATCGTCGTCATCACAGGCTGACGCACTTTAAACACCTGATTAATTCACCTTGTCGGTCTGTTTGAGTAGAAATACAGAAGCTCACACACACTGTGTATTTGATACTTGAATGCAGGACTTTAGCCTGTCATGGAGTATTTTCATAGTATTTGATATTTTCAGTGTCAGGGGGGCGGAACATTAAAGAGCAGACAAACAGTAATTTAGCAAAAATATGCATTTTAATTTCTGTTTCAGACTTGAAGACACAAGGAGAATTTACAGGTTCTTTACCTGCTGAAACAATAAAAGCTCCATGGTTGGTTTTTAAATGAATCTTTGGAAACCGGCTCCAGGTTTTCCCTCTGACCAGGAAATAAACTCTGTACCTGTACGCACCAGGATTTATCCTCCACTGAGCTACTGGAGGATCAGCAGGACCCGGGTCAGGGTGGAACCAGGACCGGACTCACACAACAACATGACTCTGGGTCACACTGTGAAGCTCTAAAAGCTTCAGTGCTTTAAATAAACACAGAGACACCAAATCACACATCATCATCATCATCATCATCATCATCATCATCATCATCATCATCATCATCATCATCATCTTCATCATCATCATCTTCATCATCATCATCATCATCATCATCATCAGTCACAGCTGTGAAGGCACCAAACAGAAAGAAAACATCAGAATTAAAAACGTCACATTAAGTTCTTACAAAAGGAAAAGTCCAGTGTTCTGTTCGGTCAATTCTGTCCATGTTTCAAATTAAAAGCCAAAGGAAACAGAAGGCCCTCTTGAGGGCTTTTAATATGAAACATGTTGAGTTTCACTGACGCTGTTCATGTGGGAATCACCGCGCTCTTCTCTTCTTCTCTGCTCTCTGTGTTCGTCGCTCCTTCACTCACATCTTCCGCCTGGTTTTCTCCAGAGTGTTCCTCCTCCTCCTCCTTTCCTCCTGATGAAGATCTGTCTCCCTCCTCTCCTCCCATGGGTCCGTTCTCTCCCTCCTTCCTCTTCTCGTCCTCCTCTCTGGACTCAGTCTCGTGCTGATCTTCTCCAGGACACGTTGAAGCGTCGGTTTTGTCGTCCTTCATCTCGTCAGTTGTTCCTTCCTTCTTGAAAACTTCTCCTGCTTCCTCCTTCTCTCCTCCTCCTCCTCCTGCTGTTGTTTTGTCTGCTACATCATTGGTGACGCCGACCTCGTCTCCGCTGCTGGACTTCCTGTGGCGGCGGGATGGAGGGCGTCGCCGGAGGGAGTGACGAGCTCGGCTCTGCAGAAGGACCAATCAGAGCAGACGCAGACAGGTGAGGTTAATTAGTATAACTGTTGGCAGATACTTCAATTTACAGATGTCCCCTAAATGCCTCACATGCAGGAAATGGTAAACACTAGCTACAGCACACATCATCACTAATATTACATGTAAGAAGAAAGTTAATTTTTCTCAGAGACTTTTAACATACCAGCTCAGGTATCTACAGGCAGTTGGACATGGGTCACCGAACGCATCACATATAATGGACCAATGAAAACACTGGATTTGACCTGATGGAGAACAGTAGCCCTTTAAACCTCTGTCTGACCTTGTTCATGCTCAATAGGATGGACCCCTCCGCCACCGTGGGAGGGTCTTCAAAGGAGGCGGGGCCTTCCTCTTCAGTTACCGGAGAGGCAGTGACAGGGCTGGTGGGGGTCACTGTGGATGAGGTGGTTACCGCGGTGACTGGGGCAGAGCTGGGGGAGGCTGGGGGGAAGGCGGGAGGCCGCAGCCTGAAGCCGGGGCTCTTTGGAGAGGGGATAGGACCTGAAGGGGAGAGAGAGAGGGAGGCCTACAGAGAGAGAGAGAGAGAGAGAGAGAGAGTGATGTCAGAGTGATGTCAGAGTGATGTCAGATGTCTGCTGCAGTTCTCTGTATCACCAGCAGAGGGCAGCAGAAACCACCTAGACTCACCTGAAGCTTCTCAATCAGAGCAGAGTTCCTCTTAGTTTTGGCAGGTAGAGGTGAGGTGACACCTGAAGACTGCTGACATACACACACACACACACACACACACACACACACACACACACACACACACACACACTGGGTTATTTTACCTGAAGTACCTACTCCAGGTAAACACAGGCTGATGTGTCCTTATGCCACCCCCCCCTCTCACTCTCTCTCTCACCTCCTGGTCGTCTCCATGTGTCTTGGGGAGCTGTAGGGAGCAAGGAGGTCGTCGTCTGACCGGTTTATCCTGGTAAAAAAAAATAAAGAAACAGTGATGGTTTGAAACCTTTTACATTTCAATAATATTTATATAGACTACATTAATTTCTAGATAAAAGTCATAGTATACTGAGGCATTAATCGCCAATTCACTTAATGTGCATATCTTTGGATTGATCCTTTATGCCTTACTATACTTTGACTTTTTATGCTTAACTGCCTTATAACATAAAAAGTCACAAAAATGTCATAGAATAGTAAATCATAAAAAGTCATAAAAACATGTCATAAAATGGCATAAAAACATCATAGTATAGTAAGACATAAAAACTCATAGTAAGTCAAAAAAAGTCATAAAAACGCCATAGTACACTAAGTCATGAAACGTCATAAAAACTCATATTATAGTAAGACATAAAAACGTCATAGTATAGTAAGGCATAAAAAGGCATAAAAAGTCATAAAAACTTATATTATAGTAGTCATAAAAAGGCATAAAAACATCATAGTATAGTAAGGCATAAAAAGTCATAAAAACATCATTGTGTAGTAAGTCATGATATAGTAAGGCATAAAATTTAATAAAAACATCATAGTATAGTAAGTAATGAAACGTCATAAAAACGTCATAGTATAGTAAGGCATAAAAAGTCATAAAAACTCATATTATAGTGAGTCATAAAAACGTCATACTATTGTAAGACATAAAAAATCATGAAAACGTCATAGTATAGTAAGACATAAAAACTCATAGTAAGTCATAAAAAGGCATAAAAACATCATAGTATAGTAAGACATAAAAAGTCATAAAAATGTCATATTATAGTAAGACATAAAAACGTCATAGTATAGTAAGACATAAAAACTCATTATAATAAGACATAAAAACATCATAGTATAATAAGACATAAAAACATCATAGGATAGTAAGACATAAAAAGTCATAAAAACGTCATGATATAGTAAGGCATATAAATCATAAAAACATCATAATATAGGAAAACATAAAAACTCATAAAAACTCATGAAATAGTAAGACATAAAAACTCATAGTAAGTCATAAAAAGTCATAAAAATGCCATAGTACACTAAGTCATGAAACGTCATAAAAACTCATATTATAGTAAGACATAAAAACGTCATAGTATAGTAAGGCATAAAAAGGCATAAAAAGTCATAAAAATTTATATTATAGTAAGGCATAAAAACTCATATTATAGTAGTCATAAAAAGGCAAAAAAACATCATAGTATAGTAAGTCATAAAAAATCATAAAAACGTCATATTATAAAAAGGCATAAAAACATCATAGTATAGTAAGGCATAAAAAGTCATAAAAACATCATTGTGTAGTAAGTCATGATATAGTAAGGCATAAAATTTAATAAAAACATCATAGTATAGTAAGTAATGAAACGTCATAAAAACGTCATAGTATAGTAAGGCATAAAAAGTCATAAAAACATCATTGTGTAGTAAGTCATAAAAAGACATAAAATCGTCATAGTATAGTAAGTCATGAAAACTCATAAAAACGTCATAGTATAGTAAGACATAAAAACTCATAGTAAGTCATAAAAACTCATTAAAAAGTCATAGTATACTAAGTCATGAAACGTCATAAAAACTCATATTATAGTAAGTCATAAAAACTCATATTATAGTAAGTCATAAAAAGGCATAAAAACATCATTGTATAGTAAGTCATAAAAAAAAAAACAAAATGATAGAGTAAGACATAAAAAATCATAAAAACCTCATATTATAGTAAGACATAAAAAGTCATAAAAATGTCATATTATAGTAAGACATAAAAACATCATAGTATAGTAAGTCATGAAAACTCATAAAAACTCATATTATAGTGAGTCATAAAAACGTCATACCATAGGAAGACATAAAAAATCATGAAATGGTAAGACATAAAAACTCATAGTAAGTCATGAAAACTCATAAAAACGTCATAGTCCTGTATAGTAAGGCATAAAAAGTCAGGAAATCGTCATAGTATAGTAAGACATAAAAACTCATAGTAAGTCATGAAACGTCATAAAAACGTCATAGGCCTGTATAGTAAGGCATAAAAAGTCAGGAAATCGTCATAGTATAGTAAGACATAAAAACTCATAGTAAGTCATGAAACGTCATAAAAACGTCATAGGCCTGTATAGTAAGGCATAAAAAGTCAGGAAATCGTCATAGTATAGTAAGACATAAAAACTCATAGTAAGTCATGAAACGTCATAAAAACGTCATAGGCCTGTATAGTAAGGCATAAAAAGTCAGGAAATCGTCATAGTATAGTAAGACATAAAAACTCATAGTAAGTCATGAAACGTCATAAAAACGTCATAGGCCTGTATAGTAAGGCATAAAAAGTCATAAAAACGTCATAGTATAGGAAGGCAAAAAATATATAAAAACATCAAAGTATAGTAAGGCATAAAAAGTCAGGAAATCGTCATAGTATAGTAAGGCATGAAAAGTCATGAAATCGTCATAGTATACTAAGGCATAAAAAGTCATAAAAACGTTAAAGTAAGATATAAAAAAATCATAAAATCATCATAGTATAGTAACGCATAAAAAGTCATGAAATCGTCATAGTAATGTACGCGTCATCAAAACAGTTTATACATCAGTCATATAGTCACTACATATCGTAATACTAGTATGTAACCAGTACATAGTACAATAAGGATCTCTCTCTCTTGTGTTTCTGTGTTTTTCCCCTGTCATGTCTCTGTGTATCTTTGTGGGCGTGGCTTCCCTCTCAGGGCTCCTGGCTCATCTCCATACCTGCGACTCATAACTTCATCAAGCCTCTAGCACAAACACCTCAGATAACTCTCCACTCCTCGCCAGATTGTTTATTCTACATTATGGTAACTTGGTCTTGTCCACTTAAACTCCTGGGAAGATACAACAGTGCTCAACTTTAGGTTTTTTTTTTTTGTTTTGTTTTGCTCTTAAGCCAAACCCAGCAAGTCTCTGGCTGTCACACCACCTCACTAGAAGATCTTCGCACCTCGGTTCCAGCCACACCACCATCTAAAATCTACATCTGCCTTCAACCCCCCTCTGCCAGACTCAAGCCCTCACCAGACACCAGCCTTCCCATTCCTCATTGTTGTTTTCATTAAAACCATTTTTCACCCCTCACCTCTGTCTGTGTCTGCTTTCGCTTCCAGGAGACTGACAAAAGCGTCAGAATAGGAAGTCATTAAAAAAAATCATAGTATAATAAGGCACAAAAAAATTCATAGTATAGTAAGTCATAAAAACATCATAGTATATTAAGGCATAAAAAGTCATGAAAACATCATAGTATAGTAAGTCATAAAAGGTCATAAAATGTCATAATATAGTAAGTCATAAAAAGTTATAAAAATGTCATGGTATAGTAAGTCATAAAAAGTCATAAAAATGTTATATTAAGGCATAAAAAGTCATAAAAATGTCATGAAACATTATAAAAATATAATTTTAAAGTAAGGCATAAAAACGACATAGTATAGTAAGGCATCTCTCTCCCTTGTGTTTCTGTGATTTACCCCTGTCTTGATGCTGTGTATGTTTCTAGGCGTGGCCTCCCCATTCCTAATTGTTGTTATCATTAAAATCATTTTTCACCCCTCAACTCTGTCTGTGTCTGCTTTCGGGTCCAGGAAACTGACAAAAGCGTCAGAATAGGAAGTTATAAAAAAAGTCATACTATAATAAGGCACAAAAAAATTCATGGTATAGTAAAGCATGAAACGTGCTAAAAATATCATAGTATAGTAACACATAAAAAGTCATGAAAACAACATAGTCCAGCAAGGCATAATAAGTGAAAAAATGTCATAGTATAGTGAGGTACAAAAACATCATAGTATAGTTGGGCAAGAAAACATCAAAATATAGTTAGGCATAAAAAATCATAAAAACATCAAAGTATAGTAAGGCATAAAACGTCATAAAAAGATCAAAATATAGTACGGCATAAAAAGTCATGAAAATGTCATAGTATAACAAGGCATTAAAAGTCATAATGACATCAAAGTATAGTAAGGCATAAAATGTTATAAAAACATCATAGTACAGTAAGTCATGAAACATCATAAAAACATCATAGTATAGTAAGGCACAAATAATCATAAAAATGTTATAGTATAGTAATGCATAAAAAGTCATAAAAACATCATAGTATAGTAAGGCATAAAATGTAATAAACACATCATAGTATAGTAAGGCATAAAATGTAATAAACACATCATAGTATAGTAAGGCATAAAATGTAATAAACACATCATAGTATAGTAAGGCATAAAATGTAATAAACACATCATAGTATAGTAAGGCATAAAATGTAATAAACACATCATAGTATAGTAAGGCATAAAATGTAATAAACACATCATAGTATAGTAAGGCATAAAATGTAATAAACACATCATAGTATAGTAAGGCATAAAATGTAATAAACACATCATAGTATAGTAAGGCATAAAATGTAATAAACACATCATAGTATAGTAAGGCATAAAATGTAATAAACACATCATAGTATAGTAAGGCATAAAATGTAATAAACACATCATAGTATAGTAAGGCATAAAATGTAATAAACACATCATAGTATAGTAAGGCATAAAATGTAATAAACACATCATAGTATAGTAAGGCATAAAATGTAATAAACACATCATAGTATAGTAAGGCATAAAATGTAATAAACACATCATAGTATAGTAAGGCATAAAATGTAATAAACACATCATAGTATAGTAAGGCATAAAATGTAATAAACACATCATAGTATAGTAAGGCATAAAATGTAATAAACACATCATAGTATAGTAAGGCATAAAATGTAATAAACACATCATAGTATAGTAAGGCATAAAATGTAATAAACACATCATAGTATAGTAAGGCATAAAATGTAATAAACACATCATAGTATAGTAAGGCATAAAATGTAATAAACACATCATAGTATAGTAAGGCATAAAATGTAATAAACACATCATAGTATAGTAAGGC